CGAGGAGGCACTATTGTAACACCTCCCTGAGCCTTCCTGGCTCCTCACTGGATTTCCTGTTCTTTTCAGCCTGTGATCTTCCTGCCCAACGCCTTCAGCACAGACTTCAGCCTTCCCAGCCCAGCAGCCTCTCCGCCCCCCGCCTACGACAATGTGGCCTATATGCCCAAGGAGTCCTCCGAGTAGAAAGCCCAGCCTTTCTCCCGTGGGCGCAGCCGCCCCCACGCGCACCACACCCTGCTCATCCTGGGGGGGCAGCCTTTCTGATGTCCTGTCTCCCCCACCCCCACATATTTGTCCGAACTGTCCCCCATGCTCTCCCAGCGTGTCTTTGCTAACAAAAGACTACGGCATGGTGTCGGCCTGTGCTGTCTGTTATCCTGAGCTGTCGCCGCCGTTCTGTTCCAGGAGCTTCGTGCGCTTGCCCTTTGTCGCGGTCCATTCATTTGGGGGTAATGGGGAACAGGGGGAGGGGGCAAGCTCGGAGAGGGCCAGGTTTGCAGAATTCCGCGCTGCCCTCAGAATTCCCAAAGGGGGCATTCTTGTGATCCCTTCTTCCAAATTCCAGCGGCCCGATAACCCAAACCAAACTCACTACTGCCACCGAGTCCAGTCGGACTCACAGCGACCCTATAGGACAGGGTAGAAATGTCCCTGAGGGTGCATTTGGAAGTAGCATGCCTCCACTTACTCCCATGGATTCGAACTACCAACCTTGAGGTTCCTGTCCCACTCTTAACCACTACACCACCAGGACTCCAGTGACCCCTTCCCAGCTTCCCCCAAGCTCTTGGATTTTCACTGGATCTAGTTTTCCAGTAAGAATCTGCTCTCCCATCTCCCAGAGGCCCTGAGGCCCCGCAGCAAGGCAGATGGACTGACCTCTGGCCTCCAGGCCCCAGGGCTCACCCTGACCTTTGCACCCTGCAGCCAAGAGCCTGGGCCTCGTGTCCTCCCCTGTAAAGGAATGTTGAACCAGATGGCCTGTAAGACCCTTCCCGGCCCCACAAGCACCTGAACCTGCAGACAGGTGCGGCTGCAGTCAACCAAGCTTTCCTGGAGCCACAAGTGGGTCTTGGGGGTGGAACCAGTAAAAACTGGAACCAGTACAAACTGGCCCTTCTCCCAGGCTGGCGTTTTACCAAGAAGGATGGTACCAGCCCCACCTCTGTCCACCTCAGCATCTCAGGGTGCACAGTGTTAGTGCCCCCCCACTTCCCAGCCCCCACGCCCTGAAACATAATCCCAGCAGCTGGGCACCATCCTGGGTGATAAGGAGGTGCCTTCTGTATCTAGGGGCCCTGTGGGTGGGGAGTGGTTTGAACTCTGACCTGCTCTCTTTGCAGTGATGATCCTTCTTCAGCTCAGAGACATCTCTTGGTCACCGCGAAGGGGCGCCCAGGGTGTGGTCCTCACCCTGGCCCGTCCAGGGGTGTGACACAGGCACCAGGAGGGCCATGGTGACAGAGAGCACAAACTAATGACTTCTAAGAACAAGCAGCGGCCAGGGTTGGAATTCAGGGCCCCGCTCTCAGACGTCACCAGACTCCCTTGATAACCTCCCTCCCCACCCCACCCCAGGCACATCTTGGCATGTAGCTGCGTCTGAACATGCCTGTCTTCCCAGCTTTCTATCTAAGGACACCACTCGGGTTGAAGTAGGACACACACACACACACACACACACTCCAGTGTGACCTCAGGTCAACCCACAACATCTTCAAAGACCGTATTTCCAAGCAAGGTTACAGTCACAGGTGCCAGACGTTAGACCTGCCAGGTGTCCTTTGTCCAGATACAATCCACTCAATAGCAATGTATGTCCCCACTCTACAGCCAAGGATACTGGGGCAGAAAAGGTTAAATCACTCACCGAAGGCCACCCAGGTTTTTAAGAGGCAGTGCTGGGATTTGAACCCAGCTCCACCCCACACTTCAGTTTGTGTTCTGACCACGTTAGTTGTCTCCCCGCGTTAGTTGTTATGAGGTGCCGTCAAGTTGATTCTGACGCATCGCGATGCCATGGACGAAAGAAGAAAGCCCCACCCGGGCCCTGCACCGTCCTCACCACTGTTCTTACGTTGGAGCCCATGTTGCAGCCATGCGTCAGTCCATCTCGCCAAGGGTCCTCCTCTATTTGACTGGCCCTCCACTTTATCAACCGTGATGTCCTTCTCCAGGGAGTGGCTTCTCCGGACAACACATCCAAAGTGCGTGAGACCACGTCTCTCCATCCTCCATTCTAAGGAGCACTCTGGCTAGACTCCTCCCAAGACAGATCGGTTGGTTCTTTCAGCGGTGCGTAGCACTTCCCAGAGTCTTCACCAGCATCATAATTCAAATGCACCAATTCTTCTTCAGTCAGAATTCCTTATTCAATGCCCACCTTTCACAGGCAGATGAGGTGATGAAAAACACCATAGCCTGGGTCAGACACACCTTAGTCACATCCTTGCTCTTCAACACATTAAAGAGGTCTTGTGCAGCAGATATGCCCAATTGTGGGGGGATTGGCCAGCCCCCACAACTAATCATGGGTTTGATAGGCACAATTGTATGGTTAAGATACATAAAGATTATAATAAAGTCATAGAAAGCATGAGACATAGAAGAGAGATTGAAGTAATGGAGTCAGACACAATTCATAGTAGCATGCTCACCTCAGCCCGGCTTGGTGGTCCTCATGGACAGACCTTCGAGAGCAAGAGCCAGGCCAACTTTATTGCTAACCAAGGCTTATCATTACCTAGGGGGGGCATGATTACAGGTAACCACACATCACAGGAAGGGGCAGTGCAATAGGCATACACATCATAGGAAAGGGATGTATGATAGGCATATATGTGACAGGATGGGGATGAGCTAGGGGTGTGCCCATAGGAAGGGGGGGGGACTAGAGATATACATGTGACAAGATGGGCGGACCCTAGATTCATGATGGCAGCCTAACCTTGGTCACCCTTGGGTGGATTTGACCTCTTAGGGGTCTCCAACAAAGAAACAGGCAACTACTATCCTTTTCTGAAGGGAGTGGGTCCTACTTGTGGGAAAAACAGTGGTGAGTGCTTGCTTTAGATGGCTGATAACCCTTAGGGAGAATAGCCCCTGACCTACCTCTGTTGACCTCCAAGTGTATAGTCATTTGCCATGAGTAGCAAGCAGCTAAGTTTGGGATATATTTGGGGAAGACAACTGGGGAGAAATCTTTCTGTTTCCCACACCCAATGCAACGCATCTTCTGATCTCTTGATTGCTGCTTCCATGAGTATTGATTGTGGATCCAAGCAAGACAAAATCCTTGACGACTACCATCTTGTCTTCATTTAACACAAGCTTGTCTATTGGTCTATGGATGGTGGAGACTTTGGTCTTCTTTACATTGAGTTGTAGTCCCTGATCTTCCTCAGCAAGTTCGTTAAGTCCTCCTCACATCCTGAAAGCCAGGATGTGTCATCTGTATATTGCAGTTTGTTAATAAGCTTTCCTCCGATCCTGATGCTGTGTCCTTCATATAGTCCAAGCCAAAGAGCCATCTACCATCTCCACCACCCCCCTCCTTCTGCCTCTCCATCCCAAATACTGGGGTGGGGCTGCCTCCCTAGCAGACTCCTGCTCCTCCTCAAGACCCACTCTGAGGGTCCAGGTTTCCCCCGGGGACACTTTCACTCTGAACATGAAGAGACCCTCTTTAGACCTCTTCTAAGAGTACTGAAAGCTAGGAGGCTACTTTGAGGACTAAGATGATCCAAGCCATGGTATTTTCCGTTGCCTCATATGTATGTGAACATTGAACCTTAGGGGGGAAAAAGAAAGAAAGAAAGTTGAACATGGAGTAAAGGAGACCGAAGAAGAATCATTGCATTTGAATTGTGGTGCTGGAGAAGAATATTGAAAGTACCACAGACTGTCAAAAGAACCAACGGGTTTATCTTAGAAGAAGTACAGCCAGAGTGCTCCTTAGAAACAAAGATGGCAAGACTGCGTCTTATATATTGTGGACATGCTGTCAGGAGAGACCAGTCCCTGGAGAAGGACATCATGCTTGGTAAAGTGGAGGGGCGGATAAAAGAGGAAGGCCCTCTACCAGATGGATTGGCACAGTGGCTGCAGCAGTGGGCTCAAGCACAGGAACGGTTGTGAGGATGGCGCAGGACAGGGTGGTGTGCCAGGGTGTTGTGCATAGGGTCGTTATGACCAGAACCAACTCCATGCCAACTAACAATAACACCATGAAGAGACTTGAGAACTTAGAGTGGAGATATTTGGGTTTGAGGATTGTGGTTCAATGCACTGTGTCGTCCAAAAATGTCATCCCTGGGTGGGCGAATGAGGAGTCCTGGTAGCATGTAGTAGGTTACGCACACAGTGCTGCTAACCTCAAGGCCAGGAGCTTGAAACCACCAGCTGCTCTTCGGGAGAAAGAGGAGACTTTCTATTCCTGTAAAGAGTTACAGTCTCAGAAACAAACGGGGGCAGTTCTACTCTGTCCGATGGAGTCACAGAATTGGCTAGAGATGGCGGTGAGATGGGTGAATGTAATCCCATCCAGAGACAGGTGTGTCTTTGTTAAACTGAAGAGGCTGGACCTGTGTTTATGCCAATCCCTTGTGAGAGAGAAAAGGAGCAGGTGGGGCAAGGATCAAGGGACGCGGGCTGTGAAACTAGAGGAGACCCCAACTGAAGATGGGGGCACAGCAACAGCAAGGCACATAATATGGCCAAAGAACCAAGGAAGAGAAGCTGAAGAGACAGGACCTTCCCCAGAGCCCACACACAGAGCAAGTCTCCCCTGGTGCTGAAGGAAGCCCTGGATTCGGATTAGTACCTCACTCGAGGAAGAATACGGCATCAGGATTAGAGGAAGGCTCATGAATAACCCGTGATATGCAGATGACACAGCCTTGCTTGCTGAAAGGGAGGAAGATTTGAAACCCTTGCTGATGACGATCAAGGGTTGCAGCCTTCACTATGGATTGCAACTCCACGTGAAGAAGACCCACACCCTCACAACTGGACCCACGGACAGCCTCATGCTACATGGATAAAAGACGGCAGTTTGTGGTAGTCCGGGTGGACTAGAGAAACAAATTCATAGACGCTCATATGTGTATAAGAAAGAGCTTTATATACAAGAACAATTGAATATTGAGAAAATATCCCAGCCTAGTCCATCAGTCCCATATTAG